AACCTTTCGGAGGACTACAACGTTTATTCATATAGATTCTTGTGTAAAATAATTCTTAATTATTATTACTGTATAAAATAATAATTAATTACTATTATATAAAACAATTTTTTAATTAAGACTTTAAACATAATTTGATTGTTTACAAAAAATATCGACACAAGAAAATAATGAATTTTCGAGCAACATGATTTTTTCTATCCACTAATTTTTTTTTCTTTTACGAACCAAAAAAAAAAATCTGTTGATTCTAGAAAACATCTGCCTGTAATTATAAGCTTTTACCTGAAAATATTAATGTATGGGAAAACACATTGTGGACGGTAATATTTTACCGTAGATAATGAAGAATCATTATGAAGCAATTTAAGAAGTTAACAATTAATCTTAAGATTCTGACGAGATAATTATAACAATGTAAAATAATTTTATTTTTCCTAAATCTCCGTAGGATTTTTTTCTAATATCTAAATCTCTGATTCTCTCTTTTTTTTGACTGTGTATTTTATTTGCTTCCTCGTTGCGTATATAATTTTCTAGAATAGAATCGTTTTTCTATTGTAATTTTTTTCTTTCTTCCTAAACTCGAGAATGCAAGGCGTCTCTATATACTTTTCTGCTTCTTTTTTTTATCTATTATAAACCGAGTGTGTATATGTCGGAAGGAAACACTTAAAAACCCGGTAAAGAAATCTGCACTAATTTCCTTTCAGTGTTTTAAAACACTGTGGGAGATTTTGTTTCGTCAGAGTTGGTTTATAAAACTCAGTTAGTCCGAAAGTGGTGCGTGCAATAGAAATGTGCATAATAAGGCACAGATATTTTTATTCACAAGGGAAATTGTGCGCATTCAGGAAAAAACGCGTGTGTGTGTGTACGTCTCGAGTTTAATTCTAACAGCGTAGCGCAGCCAAACGCGTTTGCCTGAAGGTTTAATGACTTTTACGAGGCTTCTGAAGTCTCAGTTCCTGGCACCCATGCTGAATGGTACATTACACAATATAATCTTGTGTATAAACCACCATTATAGGATTCCAATCGATTACAAAATATTTCGCTCCGTCGCGGAGAAGAAGAAGAAAAAATGTCCCTGGAGTGAATAATTTTTTTTCCCTTTCAAAATTTCTTGTCGTCGTTCTTAAACTTTTCTCGATGATGATAATAAACTTATTTCTCAATTTTAATGAGTTTCTGCACAAAAATTCTTCACTCTTTCTTTTCCTCCAGGTGAATTAGAATTCAATTTATTGTTGTTTTGAAAATGTGCGACATTGCTTTATTGAATCAACGTGTGAATATTTTGATGAACACGTTTTCTCTCTTTCGTAACACGAGTTCCAATCGAATGAAAGATTGGTGCCTTATTGCTTATTTCAAATCAAAGTAAAGATCTTCTCTCGATATTGATTTCTACTTTCGAATATTGTTATTTATTTGGTTATCAAAATGACTTCCTTGTTATTCGAGTTATCATTTCTGGAAATCAAAGTATTATTAGTAAAATAAACAAAATGATTTTTTTACATTATAATAATAATAGATTTTTCTTTAAAATTTTTTTTCTCGATTGAAACTATTTATTATATAATTTAATTGACGAAGGGAAATTTATTTTTCAATTTAATTTTTTACCCTCTTCATCAAGTTCGCAAATAAAAAACTATTCAATTAATTCTTCGTTTGGCAAGAAAATAATTAAAGTAATTTTTTTTCGTAAAACTTTTGACTAGAATTTAATTATTTTCAATAGGTATTCTCGAAAGAATTATGTAAATTATTTTTGGAAATTTTATTAAAATTCTTCACCAGAATTCAATTATTGTCAATATTCTCGAATAAATTAAATTACTTTTGAAAATTTTAATAAAATTCTTCAAGAAATTTCAATTTTTTTTGTAAATAATAAAATACTTTTCTGGAATTCAATTAATTTTGGAATTTTAAATAAAATTTGTCGCAGAAATTAAATTATTTTCAATATTTTCAAAAGAGTTCAATTAGTTTTGAAAATTATAATCAAATTCTTCACCAGAATTCAATTATTTACATGAATAATAAAATTTTTTGCAGGAATTTAAATATTTTCATTATTGTCGGAAAAATTAAATTATTTTTGGAAATTTTAAATAAAATTTTTCGAAGAGCTTCAATTATTATTTTCAATATTCTTGAAAGAATTAAATTGTTTTTGAAAATTTTAATTCAATTCTTCACATAAATTCAATTATTTTCAAGATTTTCAAAGGAATTCAATTAGTTTTGAAAATTTTAATCAAATTCTTCACCAGAATTCAATTATTTTCAGAAATAATAAAATTTTTCGCATGAATTCAATTATTGTCCATGTTCTCGAATGAATTAAATTATTTTTGAAAATTTTAATAAAATTCTTCGTAAAAATTCAATTATTTTATTTATTTATTTGCTTATTTTCAAAAAATTCCCGCAGTCCATTAGGACTGCGGATATTATTTTATATATTCTCAAAAGAATTCAATTATTTTTTAAAATTTTAGTAAAACTTTTGACCAGAATTCAATTATTTTTAATATGCCCAAATGAATTAAATTATTTTTGGAAATTTTAATAACATTTTTAGTAGAAATTCAATTATTTTTAATATTCCTGAAAGAATTGATTTATTTTTGACCAAAATTTAATTATTTTCAATATTTTCGAAGACTTTGAATTATTTTTGAAAATTCTAATAAAATTTTTCGCATTAATTCAATTATTTTTAATATTCTTGGAATTATTAAAAAAAAATGTAATACAATTCTTCGCAGAAATGCAATTATTTTTAAAAATTTTTAATAAAATATTTTACAATTCAATTGCTGTCAATACAATTTTAATTAAAATGTTCGAAATGATTAATAAATTTCCAAAAATTTATAATGAATGAATTTGAAATTGTTTGAGATTAGAATTTATAACTGAATAAAATTTGGACAAATTGACTTTTAGATCATCTAAATTTGATCTTAATTAAATAAATAAGATAAATTGGAAATCCAATGATTACAAATTTCGACCTATTAAATTCCTATTTTAATTGAATTTCTATACAAATAAGAATTCAGATTAATTTCAATTAGCAAGAAATCCGCCAATTTTACCATATTTTCTAGATATAAATTCAATTGTAGAAATTTTGCAATAAAAAGATGATAATAAAATAATAACAATAAAAAAAATGGAGAGAATTATTAAGAAATACGCAAAATAGAAATCGTAATGACTAAACAGTTGACAAATGAGTCATTTTTAATGACGTTAAAACTTGATTTACCTTTTGTGATTTAATGAGAGGCGTGTGTATAAAAAAAAGAAGAAGAAGAAGAGAAAGGTGGAATTCTTTCTAGTTGATGTTTGCTTTTTTTTAATCGTGCCATTACCTTGGCAATGGTGATCAAAATGTTCATGTTGTGCGCCAATTATTTTCATCCGTAATAAATAATAGAAAAATGCATATAAAAGTGTATGAAATCTCATATAAAGCTTTGTAAATGTGTGTTTGTGTGCATAAAATGCGACACGGTAACTTGCCTTATGGCCCTCTTAACAAGTGTTCCGAGTCTTATTCTTTTATTAAAATGTACATTCTTTCACTACTTATAAACAACGGTATCGCCAACTCTCTTTAATTAATCAATTAATTGACTACAAGTTTTTCATAAACCATCACATTTATATCCATTAGTTGCGATTAATTAATTTTTTTATCGCCTAATTTTCCCTTATTATTACAAAAGCTGGAAAGAATTATTTTTTTTAGTTAAAGAATCGACTATTATTGAAAATATTTACTTGAAACAATTTTGTTTTATTAAAATCAAACCTCTTTCGCAGCAAATTAATTTAATTATTTACTTGTCAAACGAAGAAGTAATCGAATAGTTTTTTATTTGCGAACTTGATGAAGAGGGAAAATATTCAATTGAAAAATAAATTTCCCTTCGTCAATTAAATTATGTAATAAATATAGTTTCAATCGAAATGAAAAATTGTATTATTAATATAATGTAAAAAAATATCATTTTGTATATTTTACTAATCATACTTTGATTTACAGAAATGATAATTCGAAAAACAAGGAAGTCATTTTGATTAGCAAAAAATAAAAATTGTATTCAAAACAATTTAATTTTCATAACGAAATTTATTTTCGAAACTAATTGAATTCTAGTCAAAAGTATTAAAAAAATTTCCAAAAATAATTTAATAGTTTTCAGAATATTTGAAATAATTAAATTTCTCCGAAGAATTTAATTAACATTTCCAAAAATAATTTAATTCACTTGATAATATTCAAAATTATTAATAATAATTAGAAAAATTTTATTATTTATGAAAATAATTGAATTCTATAGAGAATATTGAAAATAATTGAATTCTAGTGAAAAGTTTTACTAACATTTACAAAAATAATTTAATTCTTTTGCGAATATTGAAAATCATTGAATTCCTGCAAAGAATTTTATAGTTTATAAAAATAATTGAATTCTGGTGAAGAATTCTATTAAAAATTTCAAAAATAATTGAATTATTTCGAGAATATTGAAAATAATTGAATTCTGGTGAAGAATTTTAATAAAATTTCCAAAAATAATTTATATAATTCTTTCGAGAATATTGAAAATAATTGAATTCTGTTAAAGAATTTTACTAAAATTTCCAAAAATAATTTAATTCTATTGTTTTTAAATATAATTGAATTTATGTGAAGAATTTTATTAAAATTTATAAAATAAACTTTCGATAAATTCTCTGTCATTTTCCTGATTTCCTCGACTAATTTTACTTTTCATGACTGTAGCAACCCTGTTTAATTAGGATTTAAAAAAGAAAATTCGAAATTAGAAAATTAGAAATTCAAAAGAGAAAAAACTTGTAAAGAGAGGAAACTGCTGTGTCAGAACCAGACTATAAGCGGTTAACCGCCGAGATTTTCAGTATAATCTTGAGATTAATAAAGATGTTTTTTTCCTTCTCGACAGGTGTGACGACGACGACAATGAAACCACCGCCGCGGTTGCTGCTCCCGCTGCTGCTGCTGGCTGGAATGCTTGGCGTCACGATGGCAACGTCTCCTTGTCCGTGGTCAAGCCACGTGCCAAAACTCGACGGCTCTTGCATTTGCGATTACAATCTCGCCAATGAATTATCAATCCAATGTGATATCGTCGATTACAATCAATTGATAAGAGCAATGCGTCGTTACGCAGGTCAAACGTCAATTGATCTCTTTTACGTGAATAACAGTACAATCGGTACTCTAAACGGTTCCCTCTCATCACTTAGAATAACAAATATCCAACTTTCCGGTTGTCGAATAAAAACAATCGAACCAGATGCCTTCAAGGGTCAGGAAGCCAGTCTAAGAACATTGAATTTAAGGCACAATGAAATTGCCGAAATACCATCAGTTGCTCTCAAAACATTAACAAATCTAACAGTTCTCGATCTTTCCGTTAACAAATTCAAGATCGTCGAGGACGAAGCTTTTCTAGGTTTAAAATTGGTGACATTGAAATTATCCGATAATCCAGTGGTGCTAAATCCAGGTGCTTTCAAGGGTCTCGAGAAGACGTTGAAAAATTTGAATCTCAAAGGAACGAGACAGAAAATTGTACCCGAAGCATTGCGGGGACTTGGTGCTCTTGCATTTTTAGATTTATCCCAAAACAGTATTCAGAGACTTCCCGGTCTGTCGGGCGTCAAGGCCTTCGAGGGTTTAAATTCACTCACTGGTTTGAATCTCGAGAGGAATTTAATTGGCGAAATTGGACCCGATGCATTTTATGGCGTGAAGAACACACTCAGTTCACTCAGTCTATTGAATAATGTTCTTCAAGTCTTTCCCACTAGCGCCATCAACAGCGTTCACGATCTAAAGGTTCGTACTATTCAATATCTCCTAAAAAAAGAATAGAAAAATTAAGAAAGAATAAAATAATAATTAAAGGGAATTTTTCTAGGTCCTGGATATTGGATTTAATTTAATAGCCGAACTGCCGATAGAAGCGTTCAAAAATAATCCATCGATAACGCTACTGGCTATTGATGGAAATCCATTGTCGTCAGTGCCAGAAGAAGCTTTCCTACGTCTCAACAAGACCCTTCGGGGCTTAAGTCTCGGAGGTCCGTTCCTCGTGTGCGATTGTAAATTGCGATGGATCGTCGAGTGGATGAGATCGCGGGACCTTCAAGTAACAAGTCGTGAGAAACCAATCCAGTTTTGCGGCAGTCCTCACAGACTTCAAAACATCAGTTTTTACAATATTGACCCTGAACGTACGTACACCAAACTTTTACAGATTTTAATTGACTTCTACTTTTTTCATCTCTTTTTTCTCCCCGCTTACTATTCAGTTACCCTTGAGAATGTTCACTGAACATCAATCATTTTTTTTTGTCCTCCTACTTCGAAAATAGAATCCCTGAAAGATAAAAATTGTTATTCTTTTTTAGAAATGGTCTGCGAGGGAGCTACCGAAGTCGTTGGAATTGGAACAGTGGAAAGTGTCGACACAAAAGGACCATTTGGACCAGTAAATGGAGTTGTCGATAGCTTATTACCAACACGATCGACAACCAGAGAACCAAGCACTGTCTCTCTGCCAACAAACACCGAAGTGACAATAGCAATTGATAAATCGACAATTCCGTCGACAACTTTTTCAACTTCGACAACAGTGACGACAACAACAACCACCACAAATGTTCCGTCAACAACCACCAATCGACCAATGCCACGAACTGGAAACGTCTACATTACTCGTACAACAATGCAACCGAAATTCAACGCCGAACCTGTACATCCACTCCAACAGCAACCAAAACACCCCCTCGTGTTTGGTTCCCCTCCGTTTAAATCGAAATCCGACCGGGAGGAAATTATCGTCAAGGACGTTCTCAGACAGGATAATTCCGTAATTATCTTCTGGGATACAGAGGCACACAATATTTTAGGTTTCCGTGTAATCTACAGACTATTCGGTGATTCCAGTTTCAAGCAAGCTCCACCGCTCGAAGCCAGCGAGAGGGAATTCAAAATTAAAAATGTTCCAACTCAGGTAATTTTTTCAAAAATATTACTAGAAAAATCTTATTGTTTTTCCTGATTTCCTCTTCATTCTCTTTTCTCGTTTTTTCAACTTTTTCCTAATTTCTTCTTCTCCTTTCTCTTTTCTGGTGTTTTCAACTTTTCCTTGATTTATTCTCCCTCTTCTTTCCTTTTTCTAGCTTTTTCAACTTTTTCATGATTTCTTCCTCTTCTTTCTCCTTTCTGGCATTTACAATTTATCCCTGATTTCCAAACAGAACTTTAACTTTTTCTCTGACCTTAAAAAATATTCTGATTCACTCTAAAAATGACTAGAAACATTAATATTTTTCATAAATAAATATCTTTTTTCCACTGAAATTAAGATTTTCCAAAATTTTCAATAAGGAAGAATCCGACAAACAATTGGAACAAAAGTTAGTCCACTGTCAGAATTTCGTATTTTAAAAAAAAGGTCAAATTAAATTTTAAATTCCGTTTGGTAGAAGCGTAAGAAATTTAATTTTCTACATTTTTAACAATTTAAAGTTATATTTGAATAAAAGTTATAATTTTTTGTTAATAATTAATGATTTAAGTAATATAACCTAAAATTTAACAAATGTTTCTTATTGACAGAAAATTGTAATTTTTATTCAAGTGCAACTTTCAATAGTTTTAAATGTTCAAAATTAAATTCTTCGCCTTTCCACCAAAATGAATTTTGAATTTTTTTTTTTTATTTTTTAAATAAAATTATTCCCTTAATAATTTATAAAGAACAGGCCTCGGATCAAATTTCATTAAGACACAAAAAAACTAGCTTTAGACGATTAAAAGTACAAAAAAAGGCGAAAAAATCGTATATTTTATTCAGATTTGTTTTGTCACAAAAAATTTATTTTATGTCCATGACATTTTGCGGATTTCTAAATTCAATTATTCAAAAGTTTAATACTTTTAATAAATAAATATTTAAATACTTGTTCTTTATTTTTCCCGAGGAATTGAAACTAAAATTCTTTTTTTCAATTTTTTGAAATTAAATTATTTTTCAAAATTTACAACTATAATTGTTTCAAAATTCAATTATTTGGTACATTTTTTAAATAAACTTCTTTTCTAAATCAATTATTTTTAAAAATTTACATTATGTAAAATATTCAATCGAAAATATTAAAAATAATTAATCTTTAAAAAATTGAACTAAAAAAATTCTTAAAATTAGTTTTCTAAAAATATTTTTAAACAATGTTTTAAACATCAAAGAATTTTTAATTAAATATATGATTGAAAAATTTCCAATTAATTGAAATTTAGTAAAATTTTTTGATAATAATCGAATTTATGAAGAAAATTTTTTTAAAATATTATAAAATAATCAAGTTTTTGAAAAATTTTAGTTAAAAATCTTGAAAATAGATGAATTCTCCAAAATTTTAATAATTCTAAAAAAGTAGATTTAAAAAAATTGTAATCAACTTTATTTGAAGATGATTGAATTTCAAATAATTTTGATAAAAAAATTCTGAGAAATACTTTTTTGAAAATATTGTAATGTAATTTTTCGAAAATAATTAAATTTCTTAAGAGAATTTTTGGATAATTTAAAGTAATAATGCATTTTTCAAAGAATTTTAATTTAAAAAAAAATTGAAAATGACTGTTTTTTATCCTAAATTTTAATGATTTTAAAAAATTCCATTTTTAAAAAAATTTCGATATTTTTTATAAATATTTAATTTAAAAATACTCAAAATAATTAGATTTTAAAAAATTACAATAATGAAATTCTAAGATTTATTTTTTTAAACATATTCTAACCTTATTTTTTTTAAACCAATTTTCATTAATTATTATTTTACAATTTTTCATTAAAATATTTGAGAATTAAATTATTTTGAAAATGTGCAATTATAATTTATTTAAAGATATTGAATTAGAATTTTTGACAATTCAATTATTTTGAAAATTTGCAATAAAAATTAATTTGAAGATTGTTCATTACAATTTTTAAACATTTGATTATGTATTTTTAAAATTTACAATTAAAATTCTTTCAAAATTTCATTTTCAGAAATTCTAATAAAATACGTAAATAAAATAAATTATTTTCAATAAAATTTGAAAAAATTTCAATTATTTAAAAACATTTTAACTACCCTATACCTATATTTCAAAACTTAATTATCTTAAAAAATTATGCAAAAATAATTTTTGAAAGATATACATAATATTTAGAAAAAAAATTTGAAAAAGTCGCATTTTTTTTAAAATTGTCTAAAATATGTATCCGAGGCCTGAAACAGTAATAATAGGTAATGTTTTTCAAGAATTAAATTATTTAATATAAATTCAATTTCATATTCTGTAAAGTTCAATTATTGTTATAAATAAAAAAAAATTTAAGGTTTTGCATTCAAATTTATGGCGATCGTGGCAACTGACAAAGTTTATAAGGCGAACAAAAACAATTCAAAAAAAAGGTTTTAATATTTTCACAGTTTGTTGGACACCAAAAAGCAGAACTTTGTTTTCAATTCTAGAAATTTAATACTTTTTACACTATTTTTGATAAATTCCCAGACTTTTTCCTCATTTTCCTGACCAATTTTACTTTCCACGACTTTTCCTTGAATTCTCCCATTCTCCCTGACCTATGGTAACCCTAATAATAAATACAAGGAATCAAAAAAAGAAAAGAAAAAGAAAATCAACTAACTTCTAACTAAAAAATCTATTTTCCAGGAATGTATGGTTGTTTGTGTTATTTCACTGGAGGATACAAACGTGACTCCGGCAAATGTACCCTATAATCAATGCAGAGAAATAAGAACTGACAATTCACCAACATCAAATATGGATAAAATTACAATAGCCGCGAGTGCTGCAATTTGTGCAACAATTGTAGTGGCAGTTATTATTTTCCTAGTGGCGAATCGTCGACGCGCAAGAAAACTTCACACTCTACACGATATGGATCATCAGACAAAAATGGGAGGACCAATAACAAGTTTGCCAGTAAATTGTTGTTCGACTGTTGGTCCAACTCCGAGTCCAGGTGGTCCTCTACCATCAATGGCAACACTAAGTGCCTATAATGCGCAAAAAGAATGGGATCAAGTTTCAGCTTACAGTGGACGAAGTATTCCAAGGCCAAGGATTTTTCCCGTCGATCGTCAAGGTACTTTTCTCAATTATACACCTTTAAAGAAAATAATTGAATATTGATTCTAAATTTTTGGTTTTTAAATTCCGAAATTGTATTTTAAATTAATTCAAAATTCTAGTAGAAAATTTTCCTCTCTCTCTTTTAAAATTCTATAGCATTTTGAATTAGTCTAAAATTATACTATTCTGAATAATTTCCAAAAATTTTATAGTATTCTGGATTATTTCCAAAATTTCATTATTTTGGTTTCTAAATATTTCGATGCTCGTCAATAAAATTTTCTTGATTCTTTGACTCCTAGATGAAAACATTCGCAAGAAAACACGTCGTTAGGTACAATAATTTCTAAACTAAAGTTCCAAACCGAAGAGTATTTTCTAATTACTCTCATGAATAGTGTTTTTATCCAGGTGTCATCGAAATGTCAATTCTATAACAATTTATTAAAAAAAATATTTAGTGAACTCGCAAATTTATTTAAAATTCTTAATAGTTCAAATGATATAAAGTTCCTACAAGTTTCGAAATTAAGGCAAATAAAAAATTTAATTACATGAAAAATAAATATAAATTTTAGGATCACAGTTCCTTTCTCCTTTGAAATTCGCGAACAGGTGAATTACTTTTTTAAAATAGGCGACAAGGTGGCAAAAAACTACGCAAAACAAAATATGCAAAAATAAATTTTTATTTATTGAGATTTTGATTAATTTCATATCTTTCTTCAAAATTTGGAAAAGAGAAAAGTTTAAAATTTATTGACAAGACTGACAATTTTTTATCAATGAAAAATAGGAATAAATAAAATTTAGATTAATTGAAATTTAGATTCTCTGAAATACGGAGCAAGTTATGTCTCTAAAGTTCTGAAAATTTAACTCAACTAAATTTATTTATTTCTTTTTCAAATTCAAATTTTATTTGATTGATTCTCTCGTGGAAATTTTACATCTTCCTAATTTTCGTTGATAAAAAATTGCTAGTCCTGTTAAATAAAGTTAAAATTTCTCAATAGACAAGAATAAAAAAAAATAAATAAAACCAAGAATAAAATTAATCAAAATTTTAATAATAACAAATTTATTCTTTTATTATAAAAATATTACGTCACGTTTAGAAGAAAACAACTTATTAACTTTTAAAATGATTAATTTAGTTTTTGATTTTTATTGAAGTCAATAATTTGACTCAAATTGTTATGAATTGACAATCAAAAAAGAATTTCATAAACAGATGGCGTCGATTAGTTAGAAATTTGAAGCAATTCGTGAATTGAGGTGTAATTTCAATTGCCCAGTACTTTAAACTATTTAAATATACATTTAAATGTATTTAAGTATACATTTTGTCTTGTCTTTCTTGTAAATAAAAAATAGTAAATGCACCTAATTTTCGATTTGCAAAATCCAGAATCAGATGAAAAATTTTCAATTATTTTCGTAGGATCTATAAACAGAGCATCATGTATTGACGAACTTCGACAATCACAATCAGGGCATTACACTGGGAAATCGACACGATCTGTCGCTGATGGACAATCACAGCACAGCTTCTCAAATAATTCGTCTCGCTATTTTGGCAATGCTACTTTGACGTCGAACCTAATCAACACTAGACCAGGTTTGTAACTTCCTTTCATTCCGCCATCGCTAAAAACAAAGATCGCTAAAAAATCTTCTAAAAAATCAAAAAACAAATTTTAACTTCAAGATTCACATCATTATTATGACAAAAATTAAAATATTATTATTACTATTCATAATAATAATAATTTTATTCATAATAATTAATTATAATAAAGTTAACAATCAATAAATGAAAATATTATTCAGGTATAGTTCGCAATGTTTATGATCAACGATTTAAATAAGAAAAACAATATTTCCCATTATACAAAAATTCAAAAAGAAAAATATTTTTTCTTCTAAATCGGGTGATTATAAACGTGAGCTTCAGAAACTTTAAATATTTTTTTTAATTTTAAGATTTTAAATAAAATTTAATAAAAGAATTGAATAGAATTGAGTAGAATCGAATATAATTCAATAGAATTGAACAGAATTCAATAGAATTAAAAGGGAAAACTCTGTAAATTTTCAGAATTACGACAATCACGACAATCGTTGGCAGCTGCATCTGACAGGATGTCAAGGGCCAGTTTTCCAGCTGTCAATCATTTACCACCGCAGGCAACATCGCGAAGACAACGTCCACGTTCGCGAAATCGCACCCTGGAACAAAGTCACGTCCCCCGTCCAGGTAGTCGATACAGTTTAGCGGAATCGACTCACACGCTCAACAATTACGATGAGAATAATTATGATCACGATATGGATATTTACATGGCTCGCAATCCAACCACAAGAGGTGGACTCGTTCCTCTTTAAAAAAAATAAATAAATAAAAGACGTATTCTTGCTCAAGCCAATTCATGAAAATTTTCAAAAAAAAAAAAAACCACACGTGTTGCTGTCTAGAAGTCCTAGATAAAAAGCGTTATAAATTAAAATTTGTCTTCCCTTTTCAATAAAAGAAACTAATGTATATTTCTACCACTACAATCAGAATTTATATTCAAATTAAAATTCGAATTTCAAACTTTGAAATTTTTCTTTCTTTTAAAATTAAAAAAAGGAATCACTTTAAGATATTAATATTCAATTTAAAATTCGAATTTCTAGATTTGAGATTAAAATAATTCTAGAGATATTAAAGTTTAAAATAAAAAGAGAAAATGTCTGCTAATTGTTTAGTGAAGATAGAAAAATGATTAAATACTCGTTAATTACATGTACAGATTTTAACTCTTTCTATATTATTAAATTGATTTTTAAATTGATTAATAAGAAAATTTTAAAAGAAAACTAGAATTTAAGAATTTAGAACGTTTAGTATAAAAATTACTAAGAGTAAAAGTTCATCCAGCAAAAGTGTCTCTGAGCTCTTTTTTTGTACACGTAATACTGAGATTAATTTTTTTTTTTGAGATTATTAATCAGTGCAATGAAATCATAAAGAATTCCAAAGAAATTTTTTTGATGAAAAACTCGCACTGAAAGTATGAGTATTTTTTTAGAAGTAGGATAACAGTACACTCATTTTCAGTGCACGGACTCAGTATTCACTGGTAATATAATGTAAATATCGTTTTGCGGCACTCCAGTGACTTTTTTTTATATTATATATCTAGTATTTTAATTATTAAAAAAAATGGAATATTTTGTACTTAATCGACTCGATGAAATTAAAGAGAAATAAACAAAAACTCACCCTGGTATGAAAGTGCCTTTATCCCAGCACAAGCGAATTTCCTGAATGAACTCGTACCACAAGTGAGAAAATGCCTTGAGTCCTCCGGACGATGACAGACAATAAACAGCGACGACAGCTAATCTCCAAACTAAACTTCCAATCGCACACGATTTTATTCCTTTCCATTTGTTCTCGTCGAAATTGTAGTTGCTGAAATCTTCATACGGATGTGTCTGGAATGTTTTTTTACATTTAAGAATATTTTTTCTACTAGCAAAGTCCTACGCGCGCGTGAATGATTTAAAGAATTATCACGGTAGCAATCTGCCTACCTGCTTTCCACAGAAAAAATTTAATAATTTCAATTTATATTCTTGCATGTTTACAATAGTTATGATTTTTTAAAAAATCTCGGTATTTCAACTATATTATCATTTCCACGCCTCAGAAGCCATTTAAAAAAATTGCAAGAAGATCGAAGGCGGGGAAAGCAGTGATTTTTATTTTTTGTCACGGATTTTTCAGAAATCCTAAAATATAAAATAAATCAAAATCACTGCTTCCCCCGCCTTCGATCTTCTTGCAAAATTTTTTAATGACTTCTAACATTAAAATAAATAATTAGCAAACGAAAAAAATTGCTTCCAAGGGGTGGAAATTATAATTTAGTTTAAATACCGAGATTTTTAGAAAATCCTCAAAAAATCAAAATTACTACTTTTCTTGCCTTGGATCCTTTTGCGATTTTTTAATGGCTTCTGTTATTAAAATAAATATAATTACCAAGTGAAAAAACATGCCTCTACTCAACTCAAGTTTCAAATGTAATTTTTATACATGTAATTTTCTCATGAAATCCCTCAAACATTTTTTAAGCTCATATAAATGTAATAAAATTCAAACTCAAAAGATTTAAATTATAATTTCTTCAAATATTTTAATTTTCATTCTTATTGTTTCTAATAATGATTGACGTATAGTTTTTCTAAATCGTATTTTCTAAAAAAAATTTTTTCTAATAAAGGGGAATTTCTAAAAAACTTTTCTCTAATAAAGGTGATTTTGCAGTTTTCTGTCTTCTAATAAAGGTAATTTTCAAAATTTTTTTTTTCTAACAAAATTTTTTCTAATAAAGGTGAATTTCTAAAAAACTTTTCTCTAATAAAGGTGATTTTGCAGTTTTCTGTCTTCGAATAAAGGTAATTTTCAAAAAATTTATTTTCTTATAAAGGTAATTTTCAAAATTTTCTTTTTTCTAACAATATTCAATTTTTGTAATCACGATCAATAGGTACATATGATTAAAAAATAAAATTTACGAAAATTTGTTAATTCTTTAAAAAAAATACTTGAGATTTCGTTAAAAAATTATAATAAAAAATAGAAATTATGCAAATTTTTTAACAAAATTTTAAAATAATCCAGTTAAAAATATCGTAATTAACAAATAGAAATTATAGAGATTTTTTTCCTAAAGATATTTAAAATTTTTTATAAATATATTAACTTTGGAAATTTTGGTGTAAAAATGATGCAAATTATTTTTTTTTCAAAGAAGAACAGAATTTTGTTAACAAATTCTGATAAGAAATAGTAATTTTTAAATATTTTTTCTTCATTTTCAAAAAGAAACTTATAATTTTGAAAACAGAATTGTGATTAAGAAACAGAAAATATGTAATATAGTTTCTATTTCTTAAACTTAAGTTTTTAACAATTTTCTAATTTTTATCAAAATTATGGAATTTTAGAAATTTTAGGAAAATAAACATTAGAAATTATAACTTTTTAGAAAAACTTTTTTCAGAAAACAGATTTAATTAGAAATCGCCCTTTTTAGACAAAAAGGATTAGAAAATACATATTTTTTTAGAAAAAGTGTTCGCCTACCCTAATAATTGTTAGTATTCATCCGAAAAATATATTGAAAACATTGAAATGTTGATAATTGAAGGAAATAAATTTTTAATAGAATTTATAAGTATTATTTTTTCTTAAATAAATACAAAGTACCCAATTCTGCGTAACCGGAAGGGCAAGAGTATTAAAAAATGTAGAAAATACGGGATTTTTTAAAAGTTTATTGAATTATCATTTTAAAGGAGACTGAATTTGCCAAAAGAAATAAAAATACTAAGTTTGAGAATTTCATTAAATTTATAAGAATTTACAAAATGATAATGATTTCTTGAAAAAATTACATGTATTTACCATTTTAAACATCAATTGAATAGAGGCACGTCTTGATCATTTTTCTTCAATTTGAAAAAAAATTTCTATACGTCAAGTGGTTATCACACATATGGGAATACTCATAACCAAAATTATCTATCAAAACATTAATTATTATAGAAAAACAAAAGACGACACTTTCTGTTCACGGAATAGCAAATTATTATTATGTATATTTTTTATTTTATCAGGGGTGCCAGAAAAATTTAATTTTGTTTCCCCCTGATTTCCAGACAAAATTTTTACTTTTTCCCTGACCCAAAACAATATTCTGATTCACTCTGAAAATGATTAGATACTCAAAAAAATGTTCTATTACATTTATTTACGAGTTTCTTTAATATTGTAAAATTATTCGAAAACATCAAGAACTTCTCTTTTATCACCGAGTGATAAAATTATTATTTTATATTATATAATAAAAATATTGTTACTTTAATTTCTTCAAAATTATTTTCACCAATTCAATTATTATTTTTTAGAATTTGTAACTAAAATTCTTCTTTAAAACATTTATTTTTAATAATTTTTGACAAAGTTGTTTAAGAATTTTTCAAATTCATTTGTTTATAATTCAATTCTACGAAATTTTGATTATTCGGAAATTCTTCAATTAAATATATACCTATTAGAAAATAAAAACTAAAATAATTTCAAAAAAAATTCAATCAAACTTTTTCAAAAAAATTAATTTTACAGAATTGTTAGTTAGAAGTATAGGGGAGAGTGGAGCAAACCGGCCATAATAACGGTATTTTTACTCTTGTGACTAAATGAACCAACCGATTTCATTTTTCATTCGCTTGTTTGAAAGATCATTAAATTGCGCAACTTTTTCCCAGAGACACCTATACTTTATCTTTTATTGGTTAGTTGCTGTGTTAACTTTAAAAAATTTTGCAAACTGGCCGGTTTGCCCCACCCCCTGATGTAAACCGGCCAGTTAGGTTTTTTAACAATAATATTGCTTTTATATAATCTACAATAACAACAAACATAAAGAATCATGTGAACAATTGTTGTAGTAATGTAAATAATAATACAGGATTGAATTTTAATTAAATAAATAATTTTTTTAATAACAAAACAAAAATGTTTGATATTATCACGGAAATAATATTAAAGGGCCTAATTCTCATTGGAAGATAATTATTTTTCATTGAAAGTAAATATTTCAATGAAAAAAACATTCTAATTAACTATAATAATCGTCGTATTCATTCTGTCCAGTCTGTCCACACCTGAAGTGAGTCATGGTTATTCTTTTGTTTTTTATTCGTTTTGATAGAAAATAGAAATAAAATATAAAATAACGATTTTTTAACAAAATTTATGCTTTTGTTTTTTATATGTTTTGATAGATAATATTACATTTCTTTATTTTGTTTTTATTTTTTTTGATTTAATAATATTATTTTTATTTCTCAAATAATTCAAAAATATTTTTATTAATCTAAAAAAATTATTAATATTTTTATACTATACATTATTTCCTTTGATTCTAAAAAATTAGCATTTTGTAACAAACATTTTAGAAAATTAACAAATGTAAATCCTGTAAAATATTTTCTTTTTTTTAATATGAAAAACTTTATTACTTAACAAAATTTTGACTTCTTCCTTGACTCTAAAGAATATTCTGATTCTCTCTAAAAATGATTAGATATTCCAAAAAAATGTTCCATTACATTTATTTACGAATATCTTTAATTCTAAAATTATTTGAGAACATCAATAACTTCTTTTCTAAATAAATTTTAATCATTATTATTTTCCCATAGGAATAAATTATTTTTAATAATTTTTGAAAAAAGTTCTTTGAGAATTTTAAAATCCATTTGTTTACGAAATTTAAATTATTCAGAAATTCTTCAACTAAATACAAATTAAAATTTAATATTTAATTTAAGAACCCTTTATTATAGTTTTAACTAAAATTCTTGTTTAAATCAATTCTTATCAGAATTGAGTTATTTAAATACAAAAATGAATAATTCATAGAATAATTAATTATTTTAAAAAATATATATAAAAAAATAATGTACCTTTTTATTGAGTTTTTGAAATTGGGGTTAAATTTTCTTACTCCACTTACTTAATATTTTATTATTTAAAAATTAACTGTTAAACTTTTGACATAACAATTCGAACTATAAAACAAAAAATTGGAATAAAACAACACTAACTCCAGGTGAGGACAGATTATTATTATTATTATTATTATATAATAATAATTGAAATTCTGCGATGAGTTTTATTATTTATGAAAATAATTGAATTTCTAAAAAGAATTTTATTATTTATGAAAATAATTGAATCCCTGTAATTGAATAATTGAATTCTTGTGAAATGTTTATTACTTATGAAAATAATTAAATGTTTGCGAAGAATTTTATTAACACTTTTTTTAATAACTGAATTCTTTTGGAACTTTTTTTTTATTTTTTCACCTATTTCACCAATTCCGTCAATTTTCACCTATTTTATCTATTTTGTAAATTTTTAAAAATATTTTCAATGAAAACTAGTTTTTAAAAATCTTCAATTATTTTATATTTAAATTTATTAAAATTGTTGATATTAATTAAATTTTTTCGAAGAAACTAATTAAAATTGAATTCAAATTTCAAAATAAATGAATTATTAAAAATGAATTTTACTACAATTGAGGAGCCGGATGCAGCAACTGCCGCTACGCGCTGTCGCAACTCGCAAGGGATAATACAAGTCAGGTAGTAGTGAGAGGCCCAGAGGCGCTCACTGCTCACTGACTGGTATAGTCCTCTTCGACAGCGCGTAGGGGCAGTTGGTACATCTGGACCCTCAATTTTTAAAAATAATTGAATTCTCTAGACATATTTTAATAAAATTGTATTAAAAATAATTGAATTCTTGTGAAGAATTTTATTACAATTATATTGAAAATAAATGAGTTTCTGAGAAGAATTCTATTATTTATGAACATAATTGAATATTTACCAAGAAGAAACTATATTAAAATTCTAGAAAATAATTAAATTTTTTTCAAGAGATATAATTAAAATTGCATTGAAAATAATTTAATTATTATAATTTTATCAAAAAATTATTAAAAGAATGGAATTCTTTCATCGAATTTCATTTCAATTTTTAAAAATTATTGAATCTTGTGGAGAATTTTTATTAAAATTGAGAAGAATTTTATTATTTATAAAGATAATTGAAATTTTAACGAGAATTTTTTTAAAATTGTTGTACAAATTTTAATTTAAAAAAAAACTTACCGAATTTTCATCAGCATCAGGAAATAGAAAATACATTATTGGACCGAGATTATGTTCAGAAATGGAACACTCGGAATTTTTTCTGCGAAATTTTGGTCCTCTCTTTCCCACAACGTTTGATATTGTTGGTATTCTCGATTCGGTGAGAATATTAAAAGCCGAACTCAATGATGATTCTTCGCTTTCGAAAAAGCCCAAATCGCCAATAATATCGGTTAACGTTCGTTGATCGTGACATAATTGAAAGAATTTTGTTAAACTGTCGCCGAGAAGACAACACGGTGAATGTGTGCTTTTTACCAAAAGTGACCATTCTGGCGCTAATAGTGGATCCAAATCACTAAAACCTTCACTATCGACGACAATATTTTCCGCAATTTGATGCCAAGTTGTAAACAAATGCAATTCTCTGCAAAAAAAAGAATTAATTAGTAATAAATTAAAGTAACTAATAAATACCTTTTAATCCTTTTAATGACGTGATGAACCGTAGAGTCGAATTTCTCTATAAAAAAATGGCCGATTCTTTTAAAAAACCGTTAACGAAATGTAGTGTGAAAAATTGATACTAGAGGTCAGACCATGACGGAGGTCGAAAATCACAAGTCAAGCCAAAAGTTTAAAGAAGAAAGAAAAAGAGTTTTCTATTTCTTGAATGCTTAAATGTTTTTTCATTTGAAGAATATCGTCAAATTAATTTTAATTTACTTTATTTGCAAACTAACCTTATTGGATCGTGACTTGCTCCAAAAGGAAGTTTCCCCATTTCAGAAACGCCTATAGTCTCTCCTTGAAGGAATTCGAAATCCGGAAATTCCTGGGGCAATTTAGTATTAATCCAATCTTTAATAATGTATGAAAATCTTATCGAAATGATTGCTGGATCTAATCTCAAACCGCATCCTTCGCTAATTTTTTGCTTAAACAGTGTAAGCAAACCTGTAAAATAATATATATATTAAAAAAATTAATAGGTATTTATTTATTTTCAAAAATTTAAATAAAATTCTTTAAAACAATTAAATTATTTTCAAAAACTGTAATAAAATTCTGAAAATAATTCAATTATTTCCCAAAAATTTTAATAAAACTAAATAATCAAAATTCAATTACAATTATCAACAAACACGAGCATTTTAAAAACTTGATAGACATTGTTTATGACATTCAATTACTTTCAGAATTTTCAATTATTAACATAGATCTATAAAAATTATTTATTTTATAATTACTATTTTAATTACGTTATTCTAAATTCAGGCCTCAGATCGACTTTAACAAGAAAAAAAATCGATTAAGTCGATTAAAAATAGAAAAAAAAGTCATTTATTTAATTTAGTGTTGTTACAAAAATGTTATTTTGTATTTCTCTGATTCTTCATTGATTTCTAAATTCAATTAATAAAAACTTGAATAATTTGGTAAATAAATATTTAAATATTTAACTATAACATTTTTCGCATGGATAGGAATTCCAACACTAGTGGTTTTCTACGTGGCGGGGGTGTGTTAATTGCGTGTGAATCATCGTTAAGAACTTTAGTCATAGATACTGATAACATTTCTATTGAACATGTTTTTGTTAAATTTACTTATAAGTCTATTCTTTATATTATTGGCACTTTTTATATCCCGCCTAATTCGAACTTATCTATTTATCAATCTGTTTGCGACATTCTCGATAAAATATCTCTTTTATATACGACAGCGAAAATTATTATCGTTTCCTCGCCAAACAAACTGGAGTGCCTTACGACTTCTATGATCACGACTATACTGACCTTAGAAAAAGATTTAATATTCCAACTATATCTCAGAGATTTCTTTTTGCAGATCTCCTGTTTTTATTTAAAGTCATTAATGGTTTACTTAATTGTTCAGATCTCTTAAGTTTATTTTGTTTTTTTGCAGCAAAGCATTCTCCCAGAACTGAAGTTCCATTATTTAATCAACAACTTATTAGAACTAATTACTTAGAAAATTCAGTAGTCAATAGGTTGAGTCGTGAGGCAGATCAGTTTTATGACAGAGTAAATTTTTATGGCGTTTCGCTTAATGCGTTTGTTAGAGAACTACGCAAGCAGATTTTCGACAAAAATAATAACAATGCGGTCAACTAGTAACGTAAGATTTTCATTGTTCAGTACATTGTACGAAAGGGCAATATAAGCCCGTTTATATACTAAATAAATAAAGAAATAAATACTTCTTATTTCTTTTTTCACAGGAAATAAAATTTAAAAAATTTCAACTTCTGAAATTTCATAATTTCTAAAAATTAAAACTATAACCCTTCCAAAAATTCAATTTTTTTCTACATTTTTTAACTAAACTTCATCTTAAAATTCGTAAAATAAACTTTTTAAAAATATTTCTAAATAATTTGTGAAAGACAATAGTTTTACAATTGCATACAATTCAAAAATGTCAAAAAAAAATTGAAATTTTAATTATAAATGATTTCTCAAATATTCTAATATAGTAAATTTTAAAAAATTTTAATTTACTTTGTTCGAAAGTAATTGAATCTTAAAAAAATATGATAAAACATTCTAAGAATTAGTTTTTTATAAATATTGTAATATAATTATTCAAAAATAATTGAAGAATTTTTGTATAATTTAAAGAAAAAATAATTATTTGAAGATTTTAAATTAAAAATTTTGAATATGATTATTTTCTCCAAAAATTCAAAAATAATTCTAAAAAATTTAAATATTTATTATTTTGTGTATACATTCGAATTTTGGGAAATATTGAAAATATTGAAAACAATTGAATTTTAAAAAATTAGAACGATACAATTCAGAGAATTGCTTTTTTCAAAATTATTTTAATATTATTTTTAGAACCTAATTTTGATTAATTTTCATTTTGATTGAATTTACACTTGAAGAATATTCGTTAAAATATTTGAGAATTCAATTATTTCCAAAATTTTCAATTAAAATTCTTTAAAAGTTAATTTTTAAAAATTGTAATAAAATACTTGAAGAAATAATTTATTTTCAATTAAATTTTCAAAAATTTCAATTATTCAAAATCTTTTTAATTGTATATTTCAAAAATTTAATTAAAAAAATTATTCAAAAATAAATTTTCAAAGATTTGTCTATAGTTATGCTTTTCACATTATAAAAATCGAAATAAATTGCATTTTATACTAAAAATATGGTATTTTGTAGCAAAATTTGGAAGAAAAGTCGAAAAAGTCGCAATTTTTTAATATAAGTCGATAAAAGTCATGATATCCGAAGCCTGTAAATTAGAAAAACAAAATTTCTACATTCACAAAATATTTAAAATTATTTTTCTGTTTTTTTTAAGATTTTAGCTTAAGTTGAATGTTTTTTTCTGTTTGTTTACCATTTAAATGCTTGCAATGAGGAGGAGTTTTCTTCAAGTGTATCATGTTAAAATTGACCTTTGATCCCCTTCCGAGACCAACTCCAAGGTAAAATTGTTGCCAGAGTTCCAGTACTTGAACAAAAACTGGAACTTCACTACAACGAGATGATAAAAGCAGTGAAAAATGAATTTTTGTCGAAACACCAACGTGTTATATTAAAATATTTGATAGAAAATAGAAAAAAAGCAGAAGATAGAATTAGAATAAAAATATAGGAATGTAATAATAATAAAATCATTAAAATTACCAATTTGAATTGCTGGCTGCAATGGCGAGAGAGCTGACAAGAATTTTAATTCTTGTCTCATCGAGAATAGGAGTTCGTTTAGAGGGAATTAAAACCAAAAATTCTCTTACTCCATAAAAACGAGCTATCTCTAAATGATTAACATTCAATTGGGCAAAATCATTTGAAGCATTAAGAATATCCTTTTGACATTGTGTAAACGAATCTTCAACTTCCTCACCGTAACCTCCAATTGATTCATTTAATTCCGTTTTTAACTTGTAGTGTTTAAACGTGAATTCCACATCTAAAAGTAGTGCAATATTTTCAAGAGTTAAATAAATTAAAAATTTCTTCTTTCTGATTGTTTATTCAATTTTAGTAAAATTAGTTCAAGTAATTTTCCATACAAGGGAAAAAAATCAATTCAGTACTGAATTGAATACAATTTTATCAAGAAAAGACAATACATAAAAATGCGAGTAACAATAACATATGCGTGACAATAACAAATAAATATGTAAAAACTAACCTGCAAAATTTAATTTCTCAGACACTTCCAACCAACGTAAATTAACAAAATCTTTCTCTTTCAAAGGCGAACCAAAAGGTACATTAGAAAGGTGCCATTCGTGAAGAATTTCTTCGATTCTAGCAATAAATATTTCCCATTCTGTAGCAGTTGTAAAATCAAGATGATGAACGTCCTCAGCAATTTCGTCGTTATTCATTTTGACATAAATTGCTCCTCATCAAACTGCCAACGGGAAATTAATATTTAAATATACAATTATAAATGTTTCGAGCTAATTTATTTTGATAATTTCAAAGAATTATATTTACAAAAAGTAATAATTTTGTTATGAAATAAATTGGAAACAACTTTCTTGAACCGCGCGTTATCGAGCATTGTCGACAATTGTCGAAGACAGCAGGATTGGGTAGCTGAGTACGTCAACTTTCTCGAACGGGGTGCTACCCTCTGTACCAAAAACATAAGTTCGAATGCTCATTATGCCGAATTTACAATTTAGAAATGACCAGATACGCGAATCCTCAATAACCTAAATTGTATATTGAATGAAATTCAAAAGTAGGGAATAATCATTTGATATATTCTGCATATGGAGAATATTATTTTAAACTAATTCTTTTTTTCCACAATTTGAAATTATTGCAATTTTTATTTTTGGAATTTCCACTTTACCTACATTTTAATAGATCGAAACGTAAAATATCAGAATTGACATTTAATTGAAATATGATGGAGAATAAATATATATTCACTGAATAAAAAGATTAAATAATTATTAAATGTTTGAATTTAATAAAAACATATTGTTCAAAAGTTACAGTGCGAATTGTACAGAATATATATTAATAAGAAATATAATTTGGCAGAATGTCGATTCGATCGATTTTATATTTGCAAGAAATTCAATTTGACAGAATATCAATTTATAAGAAACACGTTTTCGTAGAACTTTAACTTGTCAGAATTGTAATTTTGTAGAATATTAATATTGGCAAATCTAATTTTGGTAGAAATCTGCTTTATCAGAATGATCACATGTTCGAATCCTCAAAAGTTAGAATTCCATTTTTACCGAAAATGGATTCCACATAAATATTTGGCGCAAATTTTAAAATTCTGATTTCTGATTGGTCGATTTTAAAATTTGCGCCAAATATTTATGTGGAATCCATTTTCGGTAAAAATGGAATTCTAACTTTTGAGGATTCGAACATGTGATCATTCTGATAAAGCAGATTTCTACCAAAATTAGATTTGCCAATATTAATATTCTACAAAATTACAATTCTGACAAGTTAAAGTTCTACGAAAACGTGTTTCTTATAAATTGATATTCTGTCAAATTGAATTTCTTGCAAATATAAAATCGATCGAATCGACATTCTGCCAAATTATATTTCTTATTAATATATATTCTGTACAATTCGCACTGTAACTTTTGAACAATATGTTTTTATTAAATTCAAACATTTAATAATTATTTAATCTTTTTATTCAGTGAATATATATTTATTCTCCATCATATTTCAATTAAATGTCAATTCTGATATTTTACGTTTCGATCTATTAAAATGTAGGTAAAGTGGAAATTCCAAAAATAAAAATTGCAATAATTTCAAATTGTGGAAAAAAAGAATTAGTTTAAAATAATATTCTCCATATGCAGAATATATCAAATGATTATTCCCTACTTTTGAATTTCATTCAATATACAATTTAGGTTATTGAGGATTCGCGTATCTGGTCATTTCTAAATTGTAAATTCGGCATAATGAGCATTCGAACTTATGTTTTTGGTACAGAGAGTAGCACCCCTCTCGAACTTTCTACGTCAAACGTAAGTAAACGTAACAAATCCGGAAAAGTCAAATTTTTGTGTTATTTGTATGTTTTTGTCGTTTTTGTTGATATGTCAAAATGTTCTACCTTGAGATTTTGTTTTGATTCATACTTTGTTTTTGAAACAGCAAAAAGTTTCCTTTAATTTTTTGTTACGTGCGGAGTTACGTTATTTACGCGCAGGCGTAAGATCCGCGATTTGATTTGATGTTCAATCTTGGTTTAAAGGCGCTCGCACAGCTCTACTGCCAGCATGAGAGTAAGAGAGAAAAAACATGAAATTTGAATTTTCTGACTTACTTACTCTCATGTGTTACCATGACAACTATGCATGCATTGGCATGCATGCAGAGCTGTGAGAGCGTCTTAATCCTTTGAAAAGGAAGGCGGAAATATTCAAATAAAACAAGTTAATTTCCGTTAAAACGGAGGGAAAAACCTCACGAATAAGAAGGATCAATTAATAATTAATAATATTAATTAATCATTAATCCAACTAAATTCGCAAGTAAACCCAATACATTTATTAAAGTCAAAAACATTACACGAGTCGAAGTTATTCTTATGACTATTTTTGGGACTACTCTGAAGTACATTACGAAAGAACTCCAAAGTAGAACTGAATTCGTGAGGGAGCATTTAGCCCTTGGTCCATGGCAAAATCTTTGCGCATGCCCTGTTATAGAGTTTGTAAAGTCTATGGAGTGTTCAGAATCACAACACCAACACTGCACTGCACTAATACACGTATAAACATACTCTACGTATTGAAAACATGTATCACAACAAGTGAACATAACCCTTTTTCATTCACACTAATTACACAATTATTAATTATTTACATCATATCTAGTAACAATAAATCTCTTATACTGCACTCATCATATTTAAATATAAATAACAATTATAACGATAACCAATTTGATAATATATCATAATATAATATTATTATTATATTAATACGTTACAAATATATATTTATATTCAATACCATAATATTACAACACTCAATTAGATGAAGTTTACTAATAATATCATTTTCAAATAATACATTCATGTTGCATAATTAGCAACAATATAATATTATTGTCAATTGTTCATAATGTTCATATTATACAATTGATAATTAAAGTTCGTCGCATAATGAAAGTCTATGTGTACGTGACTTTTCGAAGCCATTTCTGTGGTCACAAGTATGGTAAACACATGTTGCATTGTCCTATGGAAAAGGACACTTGAGATATTTTTTATATTCTTTCGAGGGTTTCTCGGTTTTATGACTCTAAAGAAACTAGAGATTACATTTTCTTTCGCTATTCTACTTGATTTATGACAATTCTAAGAAATGTTGATTTTCAAATACATATTCAGAATTTGGAAACTATTAAACCATGAAGTATTATATTTTACAATAGTCAAACTTTCTTGTTTAGTCTCGTCAATATTTGTCTAGAGTCGTGAGAAAATACTAAAAATAATTAAGTTTATTAACGAAATGTTATAATTCGCGCTTCGATAACTCGTAAATCGATATATCGAAAGTTAACGAGCGAGATGGTAGTCGCTCGTAACATTTTGTCCTCACTAGTGCCATCTACAAACTCTTTGAAAATATCTCGAAATTTCATTAATAAAATGAATAAAACTATAAGAAAACTGTAAGAAAACAATTTTATTAACTATTCAACACTTAAATAATTTTAAATTGTTCGGAGCCTTCAATTAGATATAATAGATAATAAAATCCAGAATATCAATATTCAAATTGCGGATGCTGTGAAATATTTCAATCAACCAATCACAGTGCATTTTTCTCGACTTATAAAACGGGAAATATTTACAGGCTACAGGAAATAAAATTGCAAATTAGGAATATGTGAACGGAACATAAAGGTGAACATATCCGCGTTCGCAACAATGGTCGTCATTTCTGTTATCTTAGACGCACAATGGAAATTTCTTTTATTATGGAAATAATAGAAATACGGTAACGATATGAAGAACGACAAGTCGCAGATAAGCGTACGCTAATGATAGTATCTCGTTTTTAACAAGTTTTTACATTAACGACCGGTATTAATTACAATATTTTTTTGGCAGAAGTTTAGTGCAACGTGTGTTGTAGTAGTAGTAGTACATAGCAAGAAAAAAAGAAAGAAAAGGGTAAAAAGTATGTCAAATTTTTCAAGTGTTTAGTTAAGTTTTAAATTATTTTTGAGGAAAAAAAATCTATATATATATATATATATATTTGAATGTATAAGTGATATATAACGCTAACCAAGACTAATCGATAGATTTTAAGTTTCATCGTATTGGTGGTGCCTCAGGTAAACGGTCATGTGTCAATGTAACTTGCGGCAGCACTGCCGCCTCTTTAGTAATTAACCAAACAAAATGGACACCGAAATAACGATTAAGCGAATACTCGTGCAATTGTTTTAAGTGAAATCTTCGAACAAGATGGAATCGCCGATTATTAATACGTAAGTAATTTTGTTTATTGATTTCATTTCAATTGTTGGTGATATGATTTATCGAGTGGGCGGCCTGAACAATAACGTATTTTTATAGTTTTTATATCATATTTTAATAATATAAAATGTAGCACCTATTTTCACCGAACGGGGTCATGTGCTGGCAAGTACAGTATTGCGGGATTATGAATGGCTACTGCGATTTTATTTCTTTAAAATTCTTATCTTTCCATTGTCGTCCACTAACCTTAATTTATTATGTTTTCCACCTTTTTTTTACAGAAATGACTGAAAATTCCATCAAATAACGGTGAACATTGGATGTATTATTTGGGGGAAAAGAAAAGATTTTCTATTATTGATTTCTGAAATATGCATTTTTTGTGGACGGCTACTTCCGGTTTTATTCAGTTAAGCACAGGTTCGGTGAATGGAATTTTTATTTCTCGGCAAATATAATATTTTCTTTACTTTGTTTTCCTTTTACAATGCAATATTTTCTTTTTAAAATTTATTCATTGTAACGAATATTTTTTTAAAATCTCTTAATTTTGCATGAGTCAAAAGAAATTAATTTTGTTATGTCATTGCTAATTTTGCTCAATAGAAATCCAGACAGAATATACCTAGTTGACATTCATTTAATTTCAAATCTGTCGTGCAAATATCAATATTTTCATTTGGAAAAAAGTTTTTGCAAATTTTGTTTCCTGTCGAAAAAGAAATTGTGCGTGGTAAAATATTGAAAGTATTTCGGTTAAGATCATCGTAAAGTGGTGGAAATATAAATTTGATATTATTTTATTTTAATTTTTGGCAGATTGTTAAAGAAAATTGATAAGAGGAAAAAAATGTAGTTTTTTAAACAATTCTCGCGATTATGTCAGCAAAATAAGGTCAGTAGCTAATGTTTACTTTTTCACATATATAAATATATTGAAATTAAAAGTTAAAGACTCAACGTTTTATAATTGCTGACCTGTGTTTAGAAAATGTGAACGTAAAAAAGTTTCTAATTGTATTTTGCATACTAGGCTTTATATACATATATGTATATAAATTGTAATTAACTATTAAGATTCTTTACTTAAAAATTACACTTTTTCCACGATTAAAGAAATGTTAACTCCTCTTTATCTTATTTAACCCAGATAATTAAAAATTATCGTTTCTAGAAAAGGAGGTTTCGTCTATAAATTGTTTATCCACGAAACCTAATTTTCCATTTATTATTAGTTCGATTTAATTATAATTTTGACACAATTTCTTAATTTTTGACACAACTTTCATTATGGACGATATTTTACCATTCGCACTTTCTTTTTCCTTAATTTCTTTAATGACATTATTTATTTTTATCATTTTCTTATTTATTTTGTACCTATTTTAGTATTTTATTTAATATTTCAGCATTGATTTTGTATTTTAGTATTTTATTTAATGTTTCAGTATATATTTTAGTATATTTTATTTAATATTTTAGTATTAATTTTGTATTCTAATAATTTATTTTCTATTTTAGGATTTTATGATCAACGAGTTTTGAACGTTCAAGTAAACGAATTATTTTTTATTAAAAATATATTCGCAAATTGCTAATTGTAATAAAAATTAGAAACTTAAATTTCCTATTAAGAAACTATTTTTTTTTTGACAGCAAGGCAAAAGTATTGCAATAAAAATTTAATTTTTAGAAGAATTAAACAAATTTCGTTCATTTGAACGTTCAGAACTGTATTTTCGTATATTATTTAATTTCTTAATGAAAATATAAAGCGAAAATAATTCGAGAACCATAATAATGATAAAATTTTTTTTTATTTAAAAGCAAGTCTAGCCTGTTAATATGAAAAACGATAAAAATTAATTGTTTCTTTAAATTTTCCTTAAATGTTGAACTATCAGAAAGAAATTAAACATTTAAAATTTTTTAAAAAAATTAAATTTCGACTTCGATTTTTTCTCTTGTTTTAAATAACAATAACTTTTCAAATAACAAACAAGTTGTTCATTTCATGACCATTTAGCTTCCTCAATATATAAAAATTGCGGTTTTGCAAACTTTTGAAAAACTATGTACAAAAGGGTTCGTCCAGAAGATTTGTTAAAATTAAAATTATATAAATTATTTATAAGTTGTTATATAAATATTTGGTGAAATTTACACTTTAATTTGCCAATTGCTTCTTTTTTATGATAGAATAATCATTTCAAAATATTAATATTAAATAAATTATGAAAAAAATACAAAATTTGAATTTTTTGTGAAAAAGAAAAATATTTATTAATTTTATAAATTTTGATAAAATATATACTTTGTATACATCAATCGATTCGTTTTCTTGTCAGGAATGTAATTTTGAGAATAATTAATGAAAATATTAACAAATAAAAAAATTATTTCAAAAAATACAAAAAAATTATTTTTTCTAAATTTTAAAAAAATTGTATAAAAAAAATTTTGTAGATATTTTTGAAAATCCTTGTGTCAGATTTTAGGTATTAATGACTGCAATAAACCTGCAAAATTTCAGGTCAATCCATCAAATGAGATAATTTGTACACAATTTTTGTGACATACACACACACACACACACACATACATACATCTGGACATTTGCTCATGATTGAATATACATATGTTTTAGATGAAAATGAGTCCATATAACCTTCTTTTGAAAAATTGAAAATCGTCACCAATGCAAAGCTTCCTCATGAGGAAGCAAAAAGACAAATATTTAATTATTTCATTAAGTGGTTATTGAATTTTTTTCCTAATTTATATTCAAAAATTTCCAAACGATCAAATGAACAAAATATTTTTCCACTGTAAATATTTTCAAAAAAAAAAAAAAAAATTGCTGATAATTATAGTGAAAAAAGCAAATTAAAGAATTTTGAAAGTAAATTAATTTTTAATTGCGTTCCACAATATTATCAGTTGTAATAATCGTCGAATTTAATGTATAAAAAATTTGATGAGGAAATAAATAAATTTCGTTTCTTTGAACGTTCAGAACTTTAGCGACTGAAAACGATAAAGAGGAAAATTTAATTGAAACAGTCGATTAATAATCGTTTTTTTACATTAACAATACAATATACTTTACAAGCAAAGTCGATAAATTGGTTGTAATTTCAAGTAAATTTTATGTCCCTAAAGTTTCGAACGTTCAATTGAACGACGATATTTTTATTACTTCTTTTAATCCGAATTTTATTTTCAAAATATTGTTTTTTATAATTAAAAAATATTTTTTTAGCTGAATAAATAATTATTTACAATGTTTTTCCATTTCAGTCTATTAATTTTTTAAAATATTAGAGCACAAAAAAAAATATTTCGTTCATTTGAACGTTCGAAACTTTAGGTAAATTAAATTTTAGAATTTACAGGCTTCGGATATTATGGCTTTTTTGACTTTTCTTCCAAATTTTGCGACAAAATACCATATTTTTAGTATAAAATGCAACTTATTTCGATTTTTATAGTGTGAAAAGCATAACTATAGACAAATTTTTGAATAATTTTGCTAATTAAATTTTTGAAGTATACAATTAGGTATAAAGATTTTAAATAATTGAAATTTTGTAAAATTTAATTGAAAATAAATCATTTTTTCCAGTATTTTATTACAATTTTTGAAAATTGACTTTTAAAGAATTTTAATTGAAAATTTTTGAAATAATTGAATTCTCAAAAATTTTAATGAATATTCTTCAAGTGTAAATTCAATAAAAATGAAAATTAAGTTCTAAAAATAATATTAAATAGTTTTGAGAAAAGTAATTCTCTGGATTATTTCGTTCTAATTTTTTAAAATTCACTTGTTTTTAATATTTTCAACATTTCCGAAAATTCAAATACATGCGGGTATACTCAAAATAACATTAAACATTTTTAGAATTATTTTTAACTTTTTGGAGAAAATAATCATATTCAAAATTTTTAATTAAAATTCAAGATCCTAAAGTTCTGAACGTTCAAATGAACGAAATTTATTTATTTCTTTTCCAAATTAAATTTTTATTGCAATTATTTTGCGTTACTACAAAAAAAAATTAATTACTGAGTTTTCAAACGTAAATATTTCAGTTTTTAAATTTGTTTGTGATTAGTAATTTATTAAAATATCTTCAATAAAAAATATTTCGTTCATTTGAACGTTCAAAACTTGGGGATCATAAAATTCTTCAAAATAATTATTTTTTCTTTAAATTATGAAAAAATTTATATTACATAATGAAATTACATTACAATATTTATTAAAAACTAATTCTTAGAATTATTTTATCATAATTTTATAAGATTCAATTACCTTCGAACAAAGTAAATTAAAATTTTTTTAAATTTACTATTTTATAATTTTTGAGAAATTATTTATAATTAAAATTCTTCAAAAGTTTGATTATTTTTTTATATTTTTTAAAAACTTAATTCTTTTTAAAAGATTTTATCAAATTTTAATTATTTTTCTATGGTTTTACTAAATTATTTCTTAAAAGATTTTACCAAATTTCAATTTTTTGAACATTTTTGAATTGCATGTAATTGTAAAACTATTGTCTTTCAAAAATTATTTAGAAATATTTTTAAAAAGTTAATTTTACGAATTTCTTTATTTAAAATTTTTGAAAATATTCTACCTTAATATCTTTAAAAAAAATGGACGGTTTCAATTATTATAAAAAATTGAATTTTTGTGTTTAAATAATTGAATTCTCGGAGAAATTTTGAAAAATTATTAAAAATTGATATAGATAATTAATTTTGAGATATTTTTTTAAAATCTAATTTCCTGTAAAAAAAGAAATAAGAAGTATTTAAATACTTATTTAGCAAAATTATTCAAGTATTTATTAATTTAATTTAGAAACCAGTGAAGAATTAGGGAAATACAAAATAACATTTTTGTGACAACACTAAATTAAATAAACGACTTTTTTTTCTATTTTTAATCGACTAAAGCGACTTTTTTTGCACATTAAAGTCGTTCCGAAGCCTGAATTTAGAAAATTTTACTAAAGTGACAATCTTTTGATTTTTTAGCTTTAAAATTTAATTGAATTTTTTTTTGCGAAATTTTCTAGGTCCATGGAAACAAGTTTTGTCTCACAAATATCGACCGAATGTGAAATAATTAAAATAGAAATGCAACAAATTTTCATGAGAAAATTCGTGTAGAATTCTTACTCAAGAAGATAATTGTGAAGGATAATTTTTAATCATAAACATACGAATAATTGTTCCAAGGGTATATAATAAGTTATTTTATTTATTTGTAGAGAGAGAGAGAGAGAGTGAGAGAGACAGGAAAAGAGAGAAAGAACATAGAGACGAGAGAGAGAGAATATAAAAACTGCATGGTAGAGAATCATCGTTGCTTTGGTATAATAATGACGCGTGTGTACTTTCCTTCG